CCGCCGAGGGGCGCCCGCCGAGAGGCTTCCCTCCCTCCCGACGCCCGGGCAGCGGACCTCCGGGTGTTTATCCCCCTCCCGCCCCTCGAATTTTCCAGCCCCCCAAACTCTGTGGATTTATGGTTAAAATGTCGACGTACGCACACGAAGTTTATAAAACGCCAAGACACAGAGAGAGAGAGAGACAGAGAGATTTCCCCGGCTGTAGGAGTAATGAGAATCAGATGGTTAGGACCAGAAAAATAAAAAATATTCAACTGCCCTCCTGGGATTTCGTTCATTCAGTCATTTAATGAGTATTTTTTACTAAGTACTGGTCACAAACCGCCCCCCTACCCCAGAAGGAACAGGACAGACATGGTCCCTACCCCAAGGGTGACTTAGATCTTCAAAAATAAGTAAGTGGATGGACAGGAATATTTCAACTCTAGAAATGCTGTGATAAAAGAGCATGCTATTCTAGAACAGCAGCTGTATAGGGAGAAGTCAGCGGTGACAGGGCTTAGATCACAAGGGGGAGAGGCCCGGCTGAGGGGTCCCTGCAGCACTGTCAGGAAAGGGCCTGCAGCGGCACGTGCCCTTGCCCAGCCGAAAGCCCCTGAAAGGCATCACCAGGGCCTGATACCTCCACCAGGCAAGCCTGGGAGCTTGGTGTGTAGGAGACCTGGGTCCTGCTCTGACTGTAGCCTGAGTCCTTTACCTCTCCGTGCTTCTGCCCTGAAAAATGCAAACGAGACAGCCTTCAGTAGCTCTCAATCGGGGTGCAAATCAGAACTCCCCGTCCCACTCGGATCTCTGGCAACGGAACTGAGACTTGGGCATTTGGGGAAGGCTCCAGGAGGGGCAAGTTTAGCTGCCGGTCAGGTTTGAGAGCCACGCATCTGAATGATCTGAAATTGGGGCTTGAAGGCAGCACAGGTGGGCACTGAATGCTTGGTATCCAGGGTACTAAGCCCTAAGGAGGCAACATGTACATTGCCTGTAAGTTACAAGGAATACCTCTGAGGAGATAGATAGGTGTTAGTGTTTCCACTTTGCAGATAAGGAAAAAGACACAGAGAGGCTATGCACTTTGCTCAAGGGCACACAGCTGGTAAGCCGAGTGTGCGCTCTAAGCCAGGGGCCTTTCTGGGGACAGGGAGCAAATCTCTGCCTGATGGGGTTGGTGAACACGAAAGCAGCTACCAAGGTGGGAGTGCGGGGTGCCACAAGCAAGGACTGTCCCTGCATCCTGCACTGAGGCAGCGGCGCAGCCTGGCTGCCCAGGGTGGGGATCCAAATGACAGGACAGCCTTTTATTTCCCTCCCCAAGGCCCTTTTGGTCATTTCAGGGATGATTCCCACAAACCCGAGGCGTTGCTTCAGCCAGACGGAGGAACCATTTGGTAGCATAGGGAGAGAAAGAACCTCCTGTGTATAGGTCAGAAAGGGCCAGCACAGAATACTCTCTCCCATATGGGCCCCTCCCCTGCCATCGCCCTTTGACCACAGGTTCCCTAGGCAAGGGAAGATCTATGAAAGCAGAAATTGGAAGAAAAGGAAGCTAGGCCTGTCTTCTAGTGGAATACTATGCTGCTATTAAAAAGAAGAAAGCTAGCTGGGCGGGGTGGCACGCGCCTGTAATCCCAGCATTTGGGAGGCAGAGGCAGGAGGATCATGGAAATTTTGAGATCAGCCTGGGCTACAAAGTGAACTCAAGGCCAGCCTGAACTGCTTTGTGAGACCCTGTCTCAAAAAGACCAAAACAAAACAAGAAGAAAGCTATGTGTACCAGAGAGATGTTCATGATATATAAGGGTCAGAATAGGATCTCCTCACAGATAAACACTATGTGAGCAAGTGCAAATGTATGTGCAACTGCGCGCGTGCACACACACACACTCATCGAATCACTCAAAAGACAGACTCAAACTCAGCAGCAACTGGGCAGATACGTGGCAGGAGAACATAGGAAAGGGTGCTTTTTGTGATACACTTTTACTGTACTTCCTCTGTATTTATCTGCACAGTATTTCATTAGTGTCTAAATTGCAGTCAGCAGTCCCGCGTGGATTATTTAAAGATAATGCTTGTATTTACCAGTGATAATGTAAATACTGAAAGGGAGACCAGCAGAACCCCCTGGGTAGGTGGCCCCAGTCATCTTTTCAGCTTCCGGCCGATCCCCAGTCCCGGTTCTCTCCCTCAGCCGGCCAGACCAATGGGGCTCTCTTACCTGGTGAAGCGGCTCTCCACCATGTTTCTGAGTTCTAGAATGCCGATCTGAGCTGCTGGCTCCAGCTAAGAGAAGAGATGACAAAACTCATGTGAGGGGGGAAATGAAATGCCGGAGCTGTGCTCAGCAGTGCTAGCAGGGCAAGGATGCTGGGCCTGGCGGTGGTCTTCAGAGGTCGGGGCTTGCCTCTGTGCCTGTGTGTTGTTCTAGAAGCTGAGAAATGAATCTGACAGTCCAAGCCCCGAAGAGAAACAGGAATGCTTGGTGGTCAGAAGAGAGTCCACAAATCCCTAGGAGGAGGCGCAAAGGGCTGCACACAAGGCCATGTGTCCATCAGTCTCCTGCAAGAGGCCCTGGGGACCAGCAATACAGGACCCGAGACCCCAGCAGAAGGTGAAATGTCTGGCTGTCCTATGTTTTTTGTTTTTTTGGGTTTTTTTGGTGGTACTGGGAATTGAACTCATGACCTCATGCTTGTAACGCAAGCACTATGCCACTGAGCTATATCCCCAGCCCTGGTTGTCCTATGCTTCCTCTTATTTATGTTTTCTTAGGTGTGTCATGTAGTGGTTCAGAGTATGCACTAAGAAGACAGACAAGTCAGGTGGGACTTACAGTTCCCTCACTTTTCTAAGCCTCAGTTTGTTCTTCTCTAAAATGGGAATAGTGGGGTTGGGGATTTAGCTCAGCAGCACAGCGCCTGCCTGGCAAGCACAAGGTCGTGAGTTCAATTCCCAGGACCGGAAAAAAAACACACACAAAAAATGGGAATAGTAATGATACCATATAGAGTCGATGATATGAATGAATGAGCTTCTACAGGCCCTGCCCTGCCTGGGATAGATGTAAGTCTAATTGCTAGTTCTGGAACTAACAATTCAAAATTCATGGCAATTGCTGACTTTATCAAACAAATAAGAATAAGGAAAGTGACTGAGAGAGTGGGATCGCTCAAGGGTATTCACACACCTATTAGTTTACTTGGCCTCTGGCATCAGCAGTCTTTCACAACACTTGTGTTCACCAGAATTCTATGTGGTTGAGATATTATTACCTCATTTAAAAATTATGAGCTTTCTTTTGAGTAGTGGCACACAGCTGCAATCCAGGCTACTCAGGAGGCTGAGGCAGAAGAACCTCAAAATTGAGGCCAGCCTGGACAATTTAGTGAGACTTCACATTTTAAAATAAAAAACTGGGCGTGGTGACACACGCCTGTAATGCCAGCACTCAAGAGGCTGAAGCAGGAGGATCCTTGTGAGTTCCAGACCAGCCTGGGATATAAAGTGAACTCAAGGCCAGCCTGAACTGCATAGTGAGACCCTGTCTCAAAAAGACCAATAAAGGGGGTAGGGATTTAGCTCAGCGGCACAGTGCCTGCCTGGCAAGCACAAGGTCGTGAGTTCGATTCCTGGTACTGGAAAAAAAAAAAAAAAACAAACAAACAAAAAAGACCAATAAATAAATAAATTGAATTAAATTGAATTAAAAATAAGGCTGGGGGTGTAGTTCAGTGGTAGATCACCCCAGGTTCAATCTTAGTACTAGGGAAAAAAGAATGAAGAGGAGAAGAGGGGAAAGAATGAAGGAATGTCTTCACCATTACCTGAAGTCCAGATTTATATATATGTCTGTGCACTAGCAGCTGCACAGATAAAGCCAGGCAGATGAAATTCCTTCCTTCCTTCCATACCCAGTGCCTAGCCACCTTTGAATCTTTCCCAAACCTTTCCTTTTATTTACTTATTTTTGGTCTTTCTGAGACAGGGTCTCACTATACAGTTCAGGCTGGCTTTGAGCTCACTTTGTAGCCCAAGCTGGTCTCGAACTTGCAATGATCCTCCTGCCTCAGTCTCCCAAGTGCTGAGATTACAGGCATATACCACCACACCCAGCTTCCAAACCTTTCAAATGACAGCCTTTTTTATTTCGTTTTTCTAGTTTCATATCTTTCATGGGGCGGTATTTGTTTGTTGTTTTTGAGACAAGTCTCACTATGTAGCCCCGGCTGGGCTTGAATTTGCAGTGATCTTTCTGCCTCAGCCTCCCTGGTGCTGGGATTACAGGTCTGTACCACCATGCCCCCCGCCTTCTGCCTTTCTTACTTGCTTTCTTGCTTTCTCTCTCTCCCTTCTGTTCCCTCTTCCTCCAATCTAGTTAGAAAAAAAAGTTTCTGGGGATGGGAGGTTTAAATTGATGGGCCATTAACAGCATAACAAAGCAAGAGGAATTTTCCAGGTCACCAGCCAACAACTTCAGAGCTGCACTATTTAAAACTTGCTGCTTCAAGGGGGCTTGGTGGGGAGGGCAGGGGAGGGATTTCTTCTAGCTGATGGGGGACTGGGAAATGCCCCGCCCACGGCAAAACCAGTAACATCAGATTGTGCAGCCTGATTAGTGTGCAGATCTTTTATCAATGTGCTCAAACTGCAGATTTTGGGGAAGGAAAGATGTCTATCTACTGAACCATAAATAAAAGATTCTCTCTGAGCTGGGCTCTGAGCCAGGCATGGTGGCGCATGCCTGCCTATAATCCCAGCACTCGGGAGGCTGAGGCAGGAGGATCATTGCAAGTGAGACCAGCCTGGGCTACAAAGTGAGCTCAAGGCCAGACTGAACTGCATAGCAAGAGCCTGTCTAAAAAAGACAAAAAAAAAAAAAAAAAGAGTCTCTCCGGCTTTGGATTTGGGGAACACCTGAATCCCTAGTGTGGCCTCAAGCATGATTTGCTAAAATATAACGGGCCCATAAATTTCTACGGATGCACACACATACGTGCGTATGGGCACACGCTTCCTATTCCAGCTATGGCAAAATTTGGCCGAAGTGCTTGGACATACCATATTCTCCCCACTTGATGTTTGCTTTTTTTTTTTTTTTTTTTTTTTTTTCCTTTTGAGACAGGGTCTTGCTATGCAGTTGAGGCTGGGCTTCAACTCACTATGTAGCCCATGCTGGCCTCGAACTCATGGTGATCCTCCTGCCTCAGCCTCCTGAGTGCTGAGATTACTGGCTTGATGTTTACATTTTAAAAAGCATACTGGCTGGCAGGTCCTGAGAGGATTAGCTGGCATCTCAAGTGACAGCAGCTCTGTTCTGTGGAAATGCTTTCTCCAAGGATCACCTTTGCCACGAGGGGAGAATGCCCAACACAGTACAGCTGAAATTCCCCACGGGGCCCCTTAGCACCTCTCCCCGACCCTCTCCAGGGATTTCCACAGGCTCTGGCCAGCTACAAAAGCCTCCAAATTCCTGCCATCTCTGGCCAGGTGCAGTGGTGCGTGCCCATAACTGCACTCAGCAGGCGGGAGCAGAATGATAGTTCGAGGCCAGCCTGAGCTACACAATGGGACCCTGTCAACAATTTTTTTTCTTTAACCTAGGACCTCCTGCGAGCCCTGCCAAGTTGAACAAATCTGCTGAAGTAGTAGAGACGGCCCCAGTTACTATGGTTCAACTTAAGAGTTTCCAGTTGTAAAAGGTTCCAAAGCAACTAAATCATATTTTGAATTTTGATCATTTTCCTGGCTAGCGGTAAGCAAAACCATCTTCTTAGGATGTGGGGTGGCCATGGCAAGAGCGGCCCCGGCCAGCCACGCAGTCACCAGCACGTGTGACCACTGTACCACAGTGGCTGTGCTGCTGCGCTATGATGTCTGGAAGGTTAGGGGTGTACCGCGCATGCTCAACTCTCACGGGTTTATGAGGATGTAAACACATCATAAATCGAGGCGCATCTGTAGTTATATACATTTTTCAGTTTCAGTAACACAGTGGCTTCTAGAATTTTAAAAAAGCAATAGAACCCCTTTCAAAAGAATGAAAAAAAGGAATAAAACTATTGTTTCCGATGGAAGGCAATCACAATGTTGTTCAAGGGGGCCCCTAGGATTCAAAACTAGGGGGAAAAAAAACCTCTATTTTAGAATATCGTTGTATTATTACTTTCAGTAATTTTGGCAGGATATATAAAAATTTGGCTCAGTGGTAGGCAGAATGCTCAGCTAGCAAATCCCCCATCTCCCCCGCCCAAGGAAGAGAGGGAGGATTGGGAAAGGAAGGAAGGAAAATGGCATTGTGTTAAAGTCCAGACTGTACAGCCCTCTTTGGCCCAGCCCCTGCCTACCTGAGCTCATGCAGTTATTCTCAAAGGGTCTGCATTCCTGTTTCACTTCTAGGTTTTCTTGGTATGAGCCCTCCGCTAGGTACCTGGAAGGAGATATATAAGAGGTGGATGTTTTATTTTTTTTCTAATTTTTTTTTTTCGGAATCGAACTCATGACCTTGTGCTTGCCAGACAGGCGCTGTGCCGCTGAGCTAAATTCCCAGCCCTCAGATGGATGTTTTAGAGCCTGCATATTTGAAAATAGCTTTACTTTTATTTTGTTCTTCACTTCTTAATTTTTCAATTTATTTTTTGAGATGGAGTTTCACTGTGTTGTCCAGGCTGGCCTTGAACTCTGGGCTGAAGTGACTCTCCTGCCTCAGCCTTCTAAGTAGCTGGAGCTACAGGTATCCATCTCTGAATACCTGACATTGGTCATACTTGGATCATTTTGCTAGGTATAAAATCCTAAACTGCGTATCATTCCCTGATACTGCAACCTCTGCCTCACCATTGAGCCTAACCCGCTCCTTGGTCCAGATCTCTAAACTAGCAGCTACTTGTGCGTGGAACATTTATACCCTCCCCACCTCTACCTCTGTGACACAGACAAGAAAAATTAGGTCATTATTTTCATCAGGGAAACGTCCCTGCTGGGCCACCTACCCCTACAAGGCTGGGTACATATGTCTCCAAGGAGCACCCACAACACCTAACACTCATCCTTGTGTTATACCTGTGAGACCATATTATCTTGACCTCATTCCCTTTGGGTCCTTGGCTACTTGTCACATGTGAGGGCTGGGAATACACAGCCACAGTGCCATTCTGAAAGTATCTATAGAAAAAATGGTCATGATTGTTTAAATTATCATCTATAATAAAGTGTTTGACAAACGTCCTCACCAGTTTCACATTTTGGATTAGAGAAAAAGATTGCTCTGGAGGAAAGAAGTGCTACCTTTGTGTGTATGTGTGTGTGTGTGTTTGTGTGTTTGAGACAGGGTCTCACTATGCAGTCCAGGCTGGCCTTGAACTCACTATGTAACCCAATTTGGCCTTGAACTCATGGCAATCCTCTTGCCTCAGCCTCTCAAAGGCTGGGATTATAGGCGTGTACCACCAGGTCCAGCTAATTTCTTGCTTGATACCTGTTTCCTCAGAGGAAAGGTATCAGTTCTGCTCTGCTTACTACTGTTTTCCCAATACCCAGACCAGAAGAAAAAACAGCTTAATAAAGAGTAGTTAGAAAAAAAAAAAAAAGAGTAGTTAGGTGCCAGGAATATAGCTCAGTGGCACACTGCCTGCCTGGCACGTGTGAGGTCGTGAGTTCAATTCCTGGCACTAAAAAAAAAAGGAAAGAAAAAAAGAGTGGTTGGATGCAGAGCACTTGCCTAGCATTCATCGTCAGCACTAAGAAAAACACAGAGTTGCTGAATGAACAAACTGCTCCAGATAATGCAAGTTCTATGCATTATACAACAAGGAAAACTAACAGAAAAAAAGTATCTACACTGTCTTTACCATTTTGGCACACGGGGGTTGGACAGAGAATTCAATTCACTGCCCCCCCCCCCCCGCAAGGCCAACCAAGCGCCCTGCCCCCACCCCATCCTGGGCGTACCCATTCTGCTTCAGACACCTGAACTAGAAGCTCTGGAATCTGCTGAGCCTGACCCTCTCCTTCCTGCTCTCTCTTCAGTGTCAGGTCCTGCTGCCTCCTCTTTTACAGCAACTTTCACACTGACAGTCCTTTCATACTCCTCTTGCCGGTCCCCCCCATTTCGACCTCCATCACCCCACGCTGTGCCTAGGATGTCACATGGCTCCTTCCTTCATCCAAGTCACCTCGACCTGTCAGATTCATCTCTGGGCAGCAGCACTTTCATCTCATTTGTCCACTGCCCAAAACACCTCTGAGGCTCCTAATTTCCTTTCACACTAAATTGTAACGCCTCGGCCCGTTTCCAGCCTCCACAATTACTTCCAACCCTGTCTGTTTGCCTCCCGCGCACACACCCACCCCTTACTGCACAGACAGCTCACTCTGGGCAAGCAAGATGATTCGGTCTCGAAGGGAAGACAGCAGACTTCACACACAGCTTGTGCATTCTCCTCTCTGGAATGTTCTCCTCACCTCTCCCTTAACCCACTCCACCTTTCCAGGTCTGATTTAAATCTTCCCTCCTCCGATTCGCCTTCACTGACAACTTTAGGCCTTGCCGATCTCCCAACTTTAAGATTGAAACATTGCTTAGCATCTTCAAAGCCCAGGTACATTCCTGTGTGTGCCTTATCCAAGACGCTCTGCAGTCTGCACAGGTCAGTGTTGGCTTCCTCCTGTAGCCTGGTGTTCCTGATGGTAAAGATATAAGGTCGGCCAGTCCTTGTACTTAGCCGCCTTAGGAGTTCAAACACACACACACACACACACACACACACACACCAGCACGCACGCACGCACGCACGCACGCACACCAGTTGAATACAGTAGCATTCAGCAAGTGATAAGAGAGCTGCCTTCAGAAACAGACATCTGGGTTAAATCTCAGCCCTACAAACACATAGTATCGGTAGGCGGGCAAGTGTGTGTATTTGTGAGTGCATCTGGGCAAGCAACCTAAACCCTCTGAGCCTCAGGGTACTCGTCTATAAACCGGGATAACTACAGCACCGCCTCGTCGGCTGCTGTGAAGATGAAATGGGATTATGCCCGGGAAGGGAGCTGTACACCCCTCCGCTCCACAGCGAAGCACTCACTGTGCGCTGCCTGATGTCGGAACAGACACTCCCGTCCCTCTCCGTGGAGGTGAACTCTGGTCTTGGCTTTGCTTTCTTCTTTCTGTCACTGAGCTGGCCTTACAGACAGAGTTGTCCTGCCAGTCCCTGCCTCTGTGCGGCTAGGGACGCGTCCATCATCTCAGGCGTCTTCCTCCTGCCCGCAGCACAGTACTGAGTCATTGGCTGCCTTTGGTTTGCGAACCGTCTCAAGCCTTTCTCCTACTTCATCACGGTCGTTCTGTATCAAAGCAACATATGCTCACTGTTTAAAAAAAAAATTTAGGGTGCAAAAGATGTCAAAGGAAAGAAAGTCTCGCTCCACAGTGCAACCTCATTCCTACTTTTCAGAAGTAACCAAGCCAGGTGTGGTGGGCACACCTGTAATGCCAGCACTTGGGAGGCTGAGGCAGGAGGATCGCTGTGAGTTTTGAGGTCAGCCTGAACTGCACAGTGAAACTCTGTCTCAAAAAGACAGAGAAAGGAGAAGTGGGGAGGGGAAGGGAAAGGAGAAGTAACTAGACAGCAGCCTCTTGGTTGTATTTCTAGAAATCCTTTCTATCTATAGAAACATATACCCATGCAGGCACTGTTCTACGACTCGCTTCAATCACTAAACGGCGCCTTTCTATAGGCACACCTAACAGGGGCGTCACACCCCGTGTCATGGCAACACAAGTGTCCATAGAGGTCTGTGCTTGCTGACTACATCAGTCCCCTGCAGATGGGCAGTTAGGCTGCTAATACTAGAACAGTACAGTGAGCATCCTGAATGTAGATCTCTGTGGACCCCATAGGTCTTCAAGGCCTGTGCTTGCCAGATTAGACAGGACAGTTCTTCAGTTTGGTCCTTTCTCCTGATTCCCCACCTGGACACAGTGTTCACTCCCTGGACCTGCTGACTCACGGACTGGCCTCGTGGCCCCTTCCTCCTAAGCTCAGAATAGAAGAAAAAGGTCACCGGGCTGCTTCCTCGCCATCCTGCCTGACTGGAGCTCACGGAAGCAGGCCCGTCCTTCTCTGTGGAAGCACAGGGGAACTCCTGGGCGTCCGGGGACAGAACTTCAGAAATGGGCTGTATTCTGGGGTAGCCTGAGGAAGCCCTGGGGAAGGAAGGAAAGGCGTATTTGGTTCTGGAGACAAACCCCAGCTGTTTCCAGCGGGGCTGAGAGGGCTGGAACTGTGCTGACAGGGACACTATCTGTGACGGGCTTCAGGTGGTGGCCGGGCGGAAGTGAGCACAGGCTCCTCGTCGGCAATGACGCGGCGCTATTATCCAAGCCCATGTCAGTCTCCTACATGCTGTCCTTCCTTGGGCCAAGGACAGGATGGGATGCAAGAACCAGGGCTGCACATCGCCGGCTCGTCCTGACTCACCCGCACTGTCCGTTCCCCGGGGGAGCAGCCTCAGGAGCTGGCGCGAGGCCCCCTCCCCCAGGCTGCGTCCAGGTTGCTCACTGATCACCAGGGGACCTGCAGCAAGGTCCCACACCATCCCGAGCTTCCGCTGCCTCCTTCCTTCTCAGCCAAAAAAGCCTCCCCGACAAACAGTCCCTGTCCTAGCCTGTCCTTGACAGCAGGATGTACACTGAGTGCTTACCACCGGACATGGTGTTGCATAAGCAGTCAATAAATATTTGATATTTGCTTCACTTATGTCTCCTGGCCTAGCACAGCACTCAATTCAGAATACGTGCTCAATGAGACAATTATTTATTATTTATTTATATTTTTTTGATGCTGGGGATGTCCACGCTAAGCATGTATTCTACCGTGGAGCCACATCCCCAGCAGAAATGTTTTTTTTTTTTTTTTTCAGAAATGTGTTTTTAAAGAAATGAATAACCTCTTCCTTTCTGAGGGGCAGACAGGAAAATTATAAAACAACTGTAATGGCCTGTCTAACTTCACTGTCACTGTTCTTTTTTTCTTGGTGTTAGTGACGGAACCCAGGGCCTCCCAGGTGCACTGCCCTGAGCCACGCCTGTGGCCCTCCTGCTCTCTTGACAGCCATGGCAGCTTGTGAGCATGTGGTTGGGTTGGGTTTTCACCTTTCTTTTCTTTCTTCCTTCCTTTTCATTTTTCCCCTCCCTCCCTTCCTGTCTTTCTTTTGACATTGGGTCTTGGTATATTGCCCATGTTGGCCTTGAACTCCCGGCTCAAGCAATCCTCCTGCCTCAGGTTTTTGTTGTTTGTTTGGTGGGTTTTTTTTTGGTCTTTTTGAGACAGGGTCCCACTATGCAGTTCAGGCTGGCCTTGAGCTCACTTTGTAGCCCCAGCTGATTTCGAACTCACAACAATCCTCCTGCCTCACCCTCCCAAGAGC